TTAAGCAATAGGAGGGATTAGATAAGAATCAATTAGTATATCAGAGTCTTAAATAATTTACTTTGCATAAGCATAAAAAAATTCTATATCAGTCTTTTTAAAACCTTTGAATTTTGCTTAATTAACTATGATTTATCCAATTTTGGAGCTTTTACCTAATTCTGGGTAGAATCCACCCTTATGAAATTATTGACTCAATTTTGACTTAATATCACTTTATTAACATTAAAACACAAAAACAATTCATTGTACAAATATTTTATTTATTACAGTCACCAAGATATCCAAATATCATCACCGGCCCAGAGTCATTCACTCCTTTGAACTGTGCTGGTAGCAGTAAGGTGTCATCATTTGAGATGGTCACAGTATCCAATACACTGAAGTCACAGGACTCAAATTTCATACATGTTCACAGGTAGGTGTATAGTCTTTGAAATTACCCCAATTGACTAATTCTGGGACAGGTAAGTATGTAAGTATAGGAATGAGAGCACCAAATCCCCGGATGAACACATGGCTTTGTTTGTTATGGAACATTAAACAGAGTACTGAATGGGTAGGCGTTACGCCATTGGCTGAAATCAGGTATTTAATTGTTTTCATTTTAAAGTAAAATTAATGACCTTTGAAATAAATGATGGGATGAGGGAATATTACAGAAACTATAGAAATACCAGGGAAGATTTTAGGAGTGGGGGTTGATTTTTTATGTCGCGTGTTATTTACTGCGAATCTCTATAAGTTGAAAATAACTGCAATTTTGACCTATAAACGCAATGGGACCATATATTTTTTTCAGTATTTTTTGTTAGGGCTTAGAACAAAGTTTGAAATGATGCTAAAGATTTTTCTGAAATTGTCATAGTAAAGTACTGAGAGGGCCTAAGGTTTGTATGGAGTTCTATGGGAAAATAATTAGTGGTCTTTTCCCTATAGAGACCCCAATTTTTACACTGTAAAGTGATTTGAAAGTCATGAAATGTTTTATGTATGTATTTTGCATGTACATGTGACTGTGTATTTATTATGTTTTACTCTATCTGTGTATATTATGGAAGTGTAGGACAGTGACCTGGTGTTCATTTTTTCTTAGTTTCTTGGACTTTTGCACTTTTGGCATTTTTTCAAATAATTAAGGTGGCACATAAAAGGAATTTTTGTGATGGACAAGTGAAAGGAGGACATTTTCTGTCTTGTCATCTCATGTTTGGTAGTGTGTGTGTTCCTCTGGATTGCCCCCCCCCCCTTTCTTGGCTGCAGGGTGATCAATTTGTAGTTTTGTTGTTTCTATGTTGTAGCTACACAAAGGTCTATGTTTTCTCTTTTTTCGCTATTTGTAGTTTCATCAGAATTACTCGCTGCGACTCACTTTCTAATGGTTTCTAGTTTTTGTACTTAGAGTTACTTCCCTTAGACCTGCTGACCAGACAGGTAGAATTTCAACTTGATGATATCTTAACTGTTGTGACCTTTGGCTTCTGATTTTTTTTCATAAATTATTGTAATGACCTTGAACTGCATGTATGACATTTGACCTTTATTATATTTACATGTAATAATATGTAATATTGAAAAACATGTATTCCACCCTTGGCGGATCCATTTTTCATACATTTAGCTATGTAGAAGACATGTAATTAAGGAAATTTTTAGAAAACTTGAAAAATATTGTTGTTTCTTTCATGATTTATGCTTAATTTGACTAATTTTATTGATTTATTTTCATTTAAGCACTTTAGAGGAATTTCATCGTTCAGCTTTCTTGGCCCCGGGAGTGCTCGGTCTCTGATCAGCAGGGGCATTTTCTCTATATAAGAAGAAAATGGAGACTCCCTACCCACCCGATGTATTTTGTCGGACAGTTTTCTGTATATTGCAGGTAAATTTTTTATTTATTAACTTTCCAGCCTCTTATTGTATAGTACATTTTGGGGGTTGAAGTCAGTTTTTGCTTTTCTTTAATTTTAAAAAAAAAATATTTAAATTCTCCTTTTCTTAGCATGAAATTCAAAAAGTAGCTTCTGATTGTAATGTATAAGACTATAGATATTGAACTTTGATTTGTTATCAAAAGGATTGATTTACTCTTGTCTAAATTAATTGTAAACAAAAATAAAAGGGGGCACCTGCTATTTCTTTAAGTGTTTTTCACTGGGGGGTGGGGAAACCTTTTTGTACATACTTAAGCAATAGAAGGGATTAGATAAGAATCAATTAGTATATCAGAGTCTTAAATAATTTACTTTGCATAAGCATAAAAAAAATTCTATATCAGTCTTTTTAAAACCTTTGAATTTTGCTTAATTAACTATGATTTATCCAATTTTAGAGCTTTTTACCTAATTCTGGGTAGAATCCACCCTTATGAAATTATTGACTCAATTTTGACTTAATATCACTTTATTAACATTAAAACACAAAAACAATTCATTGTACAAATATTTTATTTATTACAGTCACCAATATATCCAAATATCATCACCGGCCCAGACGTCGTTCACTCCTTTGAACTGTGCTGGTAGCAGTAAGGTGTCATCATTTGAGATGGTCACAGTATCCAATACACTGAAGTCACAGGACTCAAATTTCATACATGTTCACAGGTAGGTGTATAGTCTTTGAAATTACCCCAATTGACTAATTCTGGGACAGGTAAGTATGTAAGTATAGGAATGAGAGCACCAAATCCCCGGATGAACACATGGCTTTGTTTGTTATGGAACATTAAACAGAGTACTGAATGGGTAGGCGTTACGCCATTGGCTGAAATCAGGTATTTAATTGTTTTCATTTTAAAGTAAAATTAATGACCTTTGAAATAAATGATGGGATGAGGGAATATTACAGAAACTATAGAAATACCAGGGAAGATTTTAGGAGTGGGGGTTGATTTTTTATGTCGCGTGTTATTTACTGCGAATCTCTATAAGTTGAAAATAACTGCAATTTTGACCTATAAACGCAATGGGACCATATATTTTTTTCAGTATTTTTTGTTAGGGCTTAGAACAAAGTTTGAAATGATGCTAAAGATTTTTCTGAAATTGTCATAGTAAAGTACTGAGAAGGCCTAAGGTTTGTATGGAGTTCTATGGGAAAATAATTAGTGGTCTTTTCCCTATAGAGACCCCAATTTTTACACTGTAAAGTGATTTGAAAGTCATGAAATGTTATTTTTAGCTAATTATTTGAAGATTGATGACATTTCGAGAGAAAATTTAGCAAAAATTTGAATTAGTTTACTGCGGTAATGGGGTTAGTGGTGATTTGGGTCTTTTCAAGTCAGAAAGGAGGACACTTTCTGTCTTGTCATCTCATGACCTGCTAGTGTGTGTGTTCCTCTGATGATATCTTAACTGTTGTGACCCCCCCCCTTTCATAAATTATTGTAATGACCTTGAACTGCATGTATGACATTTGACCTTTATTATATTTACATTGTATTTTAATATGTTGTAGCTACTATGTTAGAACAAAGGTCTATGTTTTCAAGGATTTATTTCCTCTACATTGATCTAAAAATATTTGTAGTTTCATCAGAATTACTCGCTGCGACTCACTTTCTAATGAATATATTTTCGGGTGAGGGTGGTAAGAGGGGATGCAAGGACCCCTCCACGGTTTTAGGGGGGGGGGGTTTCTAGTTTTTGTACTTACGAACAGCAAGAGTTACTTCCCTTAGACTCCTTCCTGCTTATCCAGACAGGTAGATTTTTTTTCATTAAATTTGATATCTTAACTGTTGTTTATTTACATTTTGGCTTCTCTCTGTCTTGTCTTTTCATAAATTATTGTAATGACCTTGAACTGCATGTATGACATTTGACCTTTATTATATTTACATGTAATAATATGTAATATTGAAAAACATGTATTCCACCCTTGGCGGATCCATTTTTCATACATTTAGCTATGTAGAAGACATGTAATTAAGGAAATTTTAGAAAACTTGAAAAATATTGTTGTTTCTTTCATCATTTATGCTTAATTTGACTAATTTTATTGATTTATTTTCATTTAAGCACTTTAGAGGAATTTCATCGTTCAGCTTTCTTGGCCCCGGGAGTGCTCGGTCTCTGATCAGCAGGGGCATTTTCTCTATATAAGAAGAAAATGGAGACTCCCTACCCACCCGATGTATTTTGTTGGACAGTTTTCTGTATATTGCAGGTAAATTTTTTATTTATTAACTTTCCAGCCTCTTATTGTATAGTACATTTTGGGGGTTGAAGTCAGTTTTTGCTTTTCTTTAATTTTAAAAAAAAATATTTAAATTCTCCTTTTTCTTAGCATGAAATTCAAAAAGTAGCTTCTGATTGTAATGTATAAGACTATAGATATTGAACTTTGATTTGTTATCAAAAGGATTGATTTACTCTTGTCTAAATTAATTGTAAACAAAAATAAAAGGGGGCACCTGCTATTTCTTTAAGTGTTTTTCACTGGGGGGTGGGGAAACCTTTTTGTACATACTTAAGCAATAGAAGGGATTAGATAAGAATCAATTAGTATATCAGAGTCTTAAATAATTTACTTTGCATAAGCATAAAAAAAATTCTATATCAGTCTTTTTAAAACCTTTGAATTTTGCTTAATTAACTATGATTTATCCAATTTTAGAGCTTTTTACCTAATTCTGGGTAGAATCCACCCTTATGAAATTATTGACTCAATTTTGACTTAATATCACTTTATTAACATTAAAACACAAAAACAATTCATTGTACAAAATATTTTATTTGTACAGCTACCAATATATCCAAATATCATCACCGGCCCAGACGTCGTTCACTCCTTTGAACTGTGCTGGTAGCAGTAAGGTGTCATCATTTGAGATGGTCACAGTATCCAATACACTGAAGTCACAGGACTCAAATTTCATACATGTTCACAGGTAGGTGTATATCTTTGAAATTACCCCAATTATAATTCTGGGACAGGTAAGTATTAAAAGATGAGACCCCCAATTTTTTTTACACTTAAAGTGATTTGAAATCAGAAATGTTATTTTTAGTAATTATTTGAAATTAAAAAAATTTTTGAGAGAAAATTTTAAAAATTTGAATTTGTTTTGGGAATGGGGTTATTATTTGGGTTTTTAGAAAAAGGGGGGGGGAAAATAAAATTTAATAAAGCCCTGACATTAATTCAGAGGAGGGGTAAGAAAAAA